TTGTAGATGAAAATATCGATGCGTAGGTTTCGCTGTATTTTGGTGGGTCGAAATCGGGATAACACTGATTTGTAGAAAAAGGGATCAGTGCGATGTCTTTCTAGGGATGTAATTATAAATTTAGTACATAGAACATTTTTATTGTTTTTATAATACCAATAAAACATAGTTTGGTAATTTCATGAACAAAGATTTCAATCATTGTCACATTTGTAGATAAATTGTAACGTTATTTCTCTTTTTATCACTATACTTCCTGGCCGGGACATATGGATTATGGAAACAGTTTGCATCCAGTAGTTAAAATGAAAAGTAAATAAAAAAGAACTGTGACATTTTGTACACTACCTTTCAACTGGAAACATTGATGATAAAAAATCAATGAATGTTTTGATGTACGGTGATGTTGGTGCCTGCTACTTGTATTTTTAACATAAGTTTTTAACGATCATAAATAAGTTCAGGCTATATTGTGCTTTAACATATTTTAGATCGAACCCTTTTTCAGGATTTATTCTTCACGATTTTAAGAAATATCCATATTTATTCATAACACGCAAAAACTTGTATGGCGTTTGAAGAGTCAATCATCAAACAACAACAATGAACTATAACAATGAAGGTGCAATCGATTTATTCACCGGTGATTCATGGGCCTTTTTGCTTCATTCGCAATGACATCGAATTTTACACTACGCATAAGTCACAATATGTGTATTTAGTTGACATTTTCACCATCCTCTAAATTCAACGTCTACAAACATTTTCAAAACTTTTTGCAGCCAAAGCCAAACAACATTCCGATAAATTCTTACTTTAGGACAAACAAAAAGACGAAATCCGTCCTAGGCGGCTCCTAGCTTCCTCTTCCGCCCCTGTTCTGTCGACGGCGAAGATCGATGTCTGCAAAAACACTTTGGCATTCAGAGTAGGGGAGGAGTAACCTAAATACTCCCCAAGGTCCTGTGAATCCTACCATCCTACACATAGTCGCGGTAGGTAGTTGATGACATAATTATTCGGATGAATGACGACACAGGGCGCCGGGTTGGGTAGGAGGCCGTAAGGTGGTGGGGGGAGGCAGTAAGGTGGTGGGGGGACAGTCAGGTGGTGGGGGGACAGTCAGGTGGTGGGGGGCGCTAGTCTCGCCGTCGCGGGGGAGGGAGACAGAGGGGTAGCGTCTGGACGGCCATATTGATCTGCCCTAGTCCTAGTTTCTATATGGGCCACCCACCCCACCCAAACTTTACACCCGTAACCTACTTACTTCCGTCGGCTTTGTGCTTGCTGCTGCTCCACTTCGGGCCCGGGACTCCAGACTGACAAATAATCTCCGCCCTGAACGTTAAATTAACTGAGTCATCAGCTTTGACAAATGATAAAGTGACGTGGTATCCTTTTCCGAGCGGAATTTGAGGAGTTTGTCGATATTAACTCAGTATTTTAACTATCCGCAGTTGGAATTAAGATTACTAGATATGGGGGTTGGGTCTGTAACTATTGCTAGTAGATGGTTGATTATCGTGATTGAGGTTGCAAATTAAAAGTGTTCTTTTTATCTATACTTACTCCTTTGGCTATACAAATCTCAGGAAATTCCCAATATTTCGCCTCCATCGACCATCACTGTCTGTCCTCTGCCAGCTCCGAATTGCTACCAGGATTCATCCTCACAGACACTAGATCATTGTTCAGCGGCCGATTTCCCATGGGTTGCCTCGTCCATACTTTTCTTATTACAAGGTTGATTTTTTTCTCCCTATTGCACATGTCCCAACCAGCAATATCTTTTTTTACTATTACAAATAATGTGTTCTCCAGTAGACTATTTGTTGATGATGCTGTTTCAAACTCCTCGCAGTGACGAAGGCCGTTCCAAGGTCCAACGTATGTTACGACATGACCCACTAAAAACCAACAACCAGGCCTTAAAGCGGGGATCAAGATTCGGGAGTAAGCATCCTGCAGCACAGACTGTACTTAATTGAGACTACAATGGATCATTGCAATAGCAAGAGTTGGCAACGACCTCAAACAATATGTTAAGGAAACATATTCTTAAGACTGACGATTTTTGCCAACGAAATACGCAATTAGTTAGATCGCAAGAGTAGCAAGTCTCATAACTTGTAGCAGGACTTACGAAAAAATTAACGCCTCGCCAACGCTGCTGCGGAGGCACTATCAAGCGCTTAGCAATCAACATTTTCATCGCTAAATCCGGCAATGCACGCGTAGGCGGGTGACGTCATGTGCGTGCGCGTGCGTGTGGGAGAGGCCATATATAGCCGAGTCACACTCTCGCCAAATGGCTAAGGTTAACAGTTAACCTGACCTGCCACGGGCACAGCGGCTGCACAGCTGGCGACTGGCAACACTGATAACAACTGTTGTGGCGTGTCAGCTGATCCGCTGATCGGTGACAGTAGTGCCAACCTAGAGAGTGATTAGAGCACAACTACAAGACTGCACTGCGTTGACTGAAGGCCATGTTATTAGGGTTTCAAAGCGGGGGTTACGTTGGACGAATGTGAATTGGGTCGGTGTTTGAAGATGCTTGAATATATTCTAATCCCTTAGACTCAATCGTCTAACGTGTAGATAGTTATCTACTTTCGAGATAATAACAAGACCTTGGTGCGTTTTTTAAGCTGAATTAATGAATTAAAATTAGTGCAGAATGTCGTGTTATGATCTGGTCAGATTTGTTACTCCATAAAAATAACTGTTTCTTTTGTCAGAACCATTTATTGAAAGTCCAAAGAACACAGCTGAGCCTAGTTGCAAACCATGAAAATGCAAATTTATTTTTTAGGGTTGATGTGGCAAGATTTTGACTGTCAGGTGAGCAACTATCCCTAGAATAAAGTAAAACAGCTGGTTTTGGTTAGTTAAAGCTACGCAGGTTACCAAACTTCCTTTTACACTCACCAAGTCACCAATGAACCAAAACTGTCTATTGAAACTTAAAGCTCAATATTTTTCTAATAAAAAACATTTGTAAAAATCCAAAGGTAATGGATATGTCACAAAAGATAGCACTACTGATTCATATCCTGTCTAAACAATTCTAATTGATCTCTTCAGTTGCAAAACGCAGGAGGGACAATAAGACATTTCTTCCATGCTTCCATCTAAGGTTTCTTGGGCTTGCATCACCGGCCGCAGGGGCAAACGCAACCCTCAAAACACCGGGGTAGCTAAATCACGTCAGACGCCGCGCCGTGGCTGGAGCCCCGCTTACAACACAAGCTGTGGGAATAGGGATAGTATTTTTAAACATTTCAGCAACGTTTAAATTTGTTTTAGTTTTATTTTTGTTTTTATAAGCTTTTGACATTTTTACCTGGTCTTGTTCCATCGTCAACCTTTCCATGCATTGATTGTCCAACGAACTATGACATTAGGTCTAATCATACAATTTGAGTATATATTTATTCAATAAACGTAAAACCTTTAGCTGTGAACTAATATAGATAAATGTTACACAGCTTAGGACAATGTTGAAAACCCCAAAAAAATCCTTTGCATAGAGTGTAGGGTGGAGTAAGTATAGATCGCGTGTTTTTTGTGTATTTTAGAACGTATTGTATTGTAAAATGTATTCTGTAGAGCTAGAGGCGTAGAGTAGCGGTATAGTCGAGGTGGCAGGCCCTGTATTGATTGTTGGACTACACAGCAGACCTCACGCAAAGGCAAGGCTTTAACTCGTCTTATTTGCTCTTTCCGAAAACAAACCACAGTGGTGAACTTTAGAAAGGCAGCGTAGAATTTTATATTTTCAAGTTCCAAAGTTATTGAAATCTGATTGAATCCTTGGTATTTTGTTAGATAGTTGATTGGGTGACTTAAATAGCGGTTTATTTGTTAAAAGTAAACTTTATTTAGTATGGATTTGATGTACTGAGTTGCCTACACGGAAAATTAAATAATCAGATACTAATTTAATTTTTATAGGCTCTCCCCTTTTCATTTCGTTGAAATCTTTAAGGAAAACATAGTTTAAAAAAATAAATTAGGGATAGGAATGGCTCATTAGAGTAAATTCATCAAGCTGTCATAATCTAACTTTTAAAATGTTAAAAATATATATTATTTTTGACTCTATTTTTATTTAATTATAAAATTTGTATGAATTATATTTTTATACCAACATTTCACTTTAACTTTAAAAATTTTGGTTCAGCATCCATTATATATTTCATGAATATAATACCGGTACTACGATATTAAATTTGACACTCATTATTTAATTTCTAGACTCAGGAAAGAGAAAATCTGGATTCAAGTACAGATGCTTGGTGTCAGAATTTTTAGTTATTCAAAATTAAATTCAACCAAACGTATTTTACACCAATTGTATTTTCGTCATTTCAGCACGTTAGGCTACTCCTCCGAAATTCAATTTACAACCGATGGCATTAAAATGCTCAGGAATAGGAAACACCTGAACGCGTGTTAAACACGCATATTGTTACAAAGAGGATTCTAAATTGAATACAGTAATCGTTTATAGTTGTAGGCAACATATGAGTCCCATGAGTGTATGTACGGTATTTAATTCGCACCGTATGATTTCAGAACAGTTTTTTCAAAGGTAATTTTACTTTTTTACCGACCACACACAATTATAACCTAAGGATGGTTAGGTTAGGAAGGTATTTTTATCTAAACTAGGCTAATTAAGATCTTATTTGAAAGTCGATTTATCGGTGTGGTCAGTATAATAGGTACGTAAGTACCCAAATTTAAGGAAAAAGAAAAACAACTGCGATAATGCAAGCCCTAATTCGCGTCTCGTATTTACAACCCGGACCGGTTCCAACTCCCCACACGCCGCTGTTTGATTTCGGTGACCGGCGACGGACGGACAAGCGGACAGCGTACAGGACAGGGGCAATGGAAAATATATTGGTCGAAGCTCGACGCCCCCCTCCACCTCTGCGTTCCCTCCCGCCCCGCGTCCCGCGCAGAACCAGCGCCACTGCCACTGCGGAGTCAAGTGCAGTGCTGTGTGGTTCTGTTGTGAACGCGGTCGGTCCGTTTAGGGAGTGTTGGTGTACGAGGGCCGTCGTGGCTTCCACTGGTGATCCTGCACTGACCGCCGGTGGGGCCTTTGTCAACACTCATGCGGGAGCCTTTATTACTTTTCATGTAGCAAGGTAAAGGATTTACATTTTTTAGCTAATGTCACCTCGGTGACGAATTTTTCCTAGCTTATAGTTTGTGTGTATTGGATTTACTATCGCGAAATGTACGTAAATGTTTGTACGCTTCACTAAAGGATTCAAAATTTTTCTTATCACTGTAATTTCAGTAATTAATTTCTACATTAAATCATTTTAAGTATATCGATAAGGCACATTTCTATTATGTAAATTTGTGAAAGGACGTGAAATTTCCTCAAATATTTTTACAATTCTAACAGATTTAAAAATATTTTTTTATTTTTTCACCTAGGATGGTGTAGCTATCACCTCGGTGATACCTAAATAATACACTATGTGTACATATACTTTTCTAATTTTAGATTTTTCGCAAATTTGTTTTACTCTTAACGCTTCGCCTCGCCAAATTAACAGCCTTTTGGCGACGTGAAGCGGGTCTATTTCTGACCGGGCGATTTGAGGAATAACGTAGAAGTGTTGCAATGCGTGTGTGTGTGCGTGTGTATGTTTGTCAGCTGATGCCTTGCCTACGTCAAGGTGCCGCGCGGTGCGCTCACCGCTCAACACTGGTACTGGTGCTAATAATCGCTACATTTCGCCTCGCCGTTGACTTTAGATTTCAGTTAATTTCGTAATTGGTTTGGAAACGATGCGATATTATATTTTAATGTAATTATTTTTAACGTTTGGTCACGTCGAATTAGGCATAGATATATGTGGGTAAAATCGCACTCGCAAATTTCGTCGGGTTGGAAGATTGCATTTGGAGATGTACAAATATTTTACACAGATAGGTTTTGTTTCTGCGGGGTTTTTTTATAAGTGAATTAATTATTATTTAGACTAATGTGTTTCCAAGGTTAAGTTTTATGGTTCTATAGTCTGTTATAAATTAATGACATTGACATCGCTTCGTATTTCTGTGTTATAGGTTCATGATCACGCTTGTGTTAACTTATACATTTTGTGTTGTTTAAGTTATAGCCGTAAGTTTAAATTGCCTATAGGTGAATTTTCAGGTTGGCCTATTATATATGTGGTGTTATAGAATTAATGCCTACGTTTATTTAGAGGGTTGTGGGAATTTTAAAACTAAATCCAGCCTATGAGTTAAAACGTATAAACAGGTTTTACTGCGGTGTTTTAGTTTATTGATAACATTTTGGGTATATTTTTGCATGTGTTCCGTTAAGGAACATTTGATTTGTATCGTGGTATAATTTAATGATTACTTAATAATGACACCCAGTGTGTTTCAACCATTGTAAATTAGGGTATTTCATGGCATAATTGTGAGTTATGGCGATATATTTTTTTCCTTACAAGTTTTACTCGTGTCTGTGTATGCATCGATATGTTTTATGATTGATGTTTCATGGTTTGTTAATATTTCTAGATTTGTAACCTACATATATTTTGCTCATTTGTTAACAGATTTGACGTATAAGTAATGGACAAATATTTTTATGCTACTTTATTGACGCCGTTTTTCATTAAGGAATTGTTTTATGAGTTAGTTAATAAAGTATGACAAAATATTTTCGTCTAAGTCACAAAAAGATTGTCTACTATAAAATCTGACGTGTTTGTAAAATATACTTAACCGAGGTCTAAAAATCTTAACTTTAAAACTAAATACAAAAATGTAGATATAAATAACTTCAAAATAACTGCTGGAAATAACATACATTAATTAATACATTATTCAATTAGATTGGCTAATCGGGCGATAGTTTTCAAAACTAATTAAAATTACTTTCACACAATTAAGCAATACAAGTTCTAAATATGCCAGTGACCACGGTAAATCTCATCAGTCGAAATGTATCACTTTCCGGTCAACAAAACAAGCCTATAATTTATTTTCCCTTCAGATGTGACTGTTTTGAAACCTGTGTGCCAAATCACTTGGAAAAGCAGTAAAAAAAATATGACAGCTGACAGTTTTTAAACTACGAGATAAATGAACTGGTGGCATACGAGACCGCTCGTTGGAGTTGTGCCATTCTAGTAAAGGCGAAATAGATTCCTACAGTTCCCAAGGCTTTCGAGAAATAGTTCCAAACCTTGGTAGACTTTTAACTGGTGGATTTTAACGAGGGCCGATTTAACTTTCGGTGCAGTAGGCGTAATTTTATTTCCTTGTTGATATTCTCTAGTAGGACTGACATTTCTTCAAATAAAAAAAAAGTGCCATCACAATTGCACGTCTACCAAAATTGACATCTCATCTACAATAGGCGCATCGGTGGTAGTCTTTTTTAGATGTAAAACTACACAAGGTGAAATGCACTTCAAACGTACTCTAGTAGCTGATTTGTTTATTTTCTACACAATTATGATGTTTAATAAATGTAGCAGGTGACTGAAATAAATATATGATTAATAAATTATCCTAAAACGTTAAAAGAACCAGAAGTAATGGTTCTCCGAATAAAAGCCGTTACTCTAGAAAACAGTTATTCACTCACCATTGATTATGAACCTGTCTCAACTATTCACCCTGATGTATAAAATTCTCTTTGGCATATTTTTGACTAATAATACAACTACACATTTCATCCCCAGGTTGAATTTGTAGCATACTTAATCAAAATCGTCGTATCTGATGTGAGCCTCCGACAGATAGCGCTGATCTAAATCACAACCAAAATCATATATTTTCGTTTCATATATATATATATATTTTATATATATTCGTTTTCGCAATAGTCACGACGTTGCCTACAAATATATACAGTTGGCACTCGGTAATCCGACTCTTGATATTCCGACACTCGGTCCGACAACTCGACGCTTCACTGAATGAGTCATCGGCCCATGTCTGTATAGTACTGGAATGATTATTGTTTTGACAGGAGCCTCATGTTGGTCAAGGTTTCTATTACATTGCTTTGCATGACAATTATTTTACATTCGTTAATATTATATAATACAAAAATAATATCAGACTACTCGACTTTGGCTCGCTGGGGTAGGTGGTGCCTTATTACACTACTTACTACATCCTTGGAAAATTTAAAGTCCCTAGCACGTTTGTAAACGGTTGTGATCAGCATACCAAGGAAAGCCACTTTTAAGCTTATTCCCCTTAAAATAACATGAGGGATTTAAAATTGGGGGGGGGGGGGGGTTAGTAAAGGCTAAGACAAGGAAGCATTACAAATCAAAATAAAATTAAGATATAAAGATTTTTAATGTTAAAACCTTGGGGAAACAAACCTGCTGAATATCAGATTTTGCCTGGCTATGATAATTTAGTCCAACGCACCTGAAATATTAGGGAATTAAATTTAGGGGAGGGGGTTAGTTTCGTATACTTTTCTTTTTCTAAAGTATTCCTTTGATATAACCGAAGACTAATAATTTTGAAAGATTTAAAGTCCTAAGCATAATGGAAGTGTTTTAAGAACTGTTGGGGGGGGGGGGGGGAATTAAATAATTTGTTAAGGGGGTTGGGGGTAAATATTTTATAATGCAATTTTTTTTAAATATTTAGGGTTTTAGTACGCCATCCTGCATGATGTCACGTTTCTAGCACGTATGCGAATGAAGTAGACAGTTGCACAAGTGGTGTCCATACGAAAGATTTTGAATATTTGGAAAATCCGCCATTTTAAATATTTTGGAGCGAACATCTTAAAATGAAACTTTCCGGGTTTTCCTTCATAGTTGAGAGCATTAAAAGTAGGCCTACAAAAATATGTCCGAAAAGTAAATCAAATAATTAAATACAATCCAACAAAAATCCAAGAAATTTTAAAATTTAAGAAGTAGGGCTTTTTGGGGGTTTTAAGGGTGCGGTATTCGGAAACGCCTAAGAGCGTTTTGTAGAACATTTTAATTTCTGACTGTGAACATTCTTTGAAATATTTTCTAGTTCTTGTCGTTTTCGAGTCGTAGCCGTTTTAAGAATAACTGTTTCCTCAAAAATTGGTGTTATCGCAAATTATTTTGGGGGGTCTGGTTAGTTTGGGACCAGGAGGGACCTCTACAAAAAGGATAATTGATGCGATGTTGTCAAATTTCAAGGTTATTAATAGGAGTTCTAACCGGCTGTTACAAAATTAGGCATGCACCAGGCTATTTTAGTATAGAACGAACAGTTTAAAATAATTGACATTATTTAAAAGTTAACTGTTTTTAAAAGTCTCGTTCTTACAAATGTTCTTATTTTATTCTCCGGCACATTTCTCCACGAGGTATATGGCATTTATGGGGTTAAATGTAATTTGGATTTCTACGAATTATATCATATAATAAAATAAGAGCGTCTACAACAACAATAGCTTTTAGGAAGTGGTAACTTGAAAATATTCCAAGAGCTTTCCTCTGGCAAAATAAGTAAAAATATACTGACACAATTTTGCCCAATGTATAATATAAGTACTGTATTTAAACCCGATGTGTTTTTACATTTCCTACATTGTGTTTTTTTTTACATAGCTCGTGAGTTCATAAGTTAACGCCGTTTTAAAACGCGTCTGCGAAGTTAAATAGCAACATTACACAGATTCGGGTAGTGATAACCCAGATGCTAACTACGACCTATCTTTATATCTTCAACCTTAATCTTAGTTGTGCAAATTCTTAGCCTATCTCACTAGTGATTGTATGTACAAACAAACTCCATAACAATTCATAACTGCTTTATTTAATTTACCTACGACTGTTTTTTTAAAGTAGCAGTTTAAGTTCGGTTTTTAGAATTGAAAAGTTTCCCATAACAGCAATTTTACTCATAACAACACGGGTAACGGACCAATGAGGTTCAAGGATTGAGAGAGAAGAAGTAAAATTGTAATGATTCGAACTTCAACTAATCAGCTGTTCAGGCCAATTTAATTGTTGAGTGGTGCAATTAGTGTTTGGTGCAATGTTTCGTTGCATCACTGTCAGTGGCAACGAGAGGTTATAAACGAATACATAACCTCTCTTAGAAGTTATGAGTAGTGATTTTTAGTAATTAAAACACTGTCGTAGGTAAAGTAGTG